TGGCCCTTTGGCAAACGGGGCAATACGGGTTCTTAGGTCGATGGGTCATAAGATGTTGAACGCTTTTGGCTTCGGCTCTGAGTCTTTCTTCAGGGGTTTGAGGATCGGCTTCCCGGTCGCTGTCCGGAATTTCTTCTTCACTTTCAGGGCTGCGCTCGAAGATCGTGATTGACATCACGGTGTAAGCCTCCAGCTTCGCTGCCCTGACATCGAGCTCTTCGATGTTAACTTTATCCTCAATTTTGCTCCATTCACCATCCCTGAAAACCCATGTTGTACGAATGATCCTGCTAGGATGCTTAGGTGCCGGCGTTCGAAGCACTTTAGGTTTATGCCCTATTAGGACATTTTCCAGACCAGGGTGCGCTACCCAGCCTGGCTTCATCAACAACATGCGGTTGATCGCGATTGGGGGTTCTGCAGCAATTGCAGCTTCGATTTCTGCATCTGGATGCGCTTCTCGTGGTTCTTCCTCATCTACCTCGCAGGCAGCGGCGGCACTCCCGCTAGGGAGGCACTTTAGTGAAACCCGGAGTGAGAACGGGCTGCGTTGCCGCCCTGTCCTCCGGCTCGGCCTTCTTTGGTTTGGACTCGCTTGCGGCAGATGCCCACGAATCTAAGTCGCCGATTACAGGCACTCTACCCCGCATCCTACAGCGGAGCTTTCGCCCATTTGGCGTGATGAAATATGGGGCTTGTCCCCTTGGCCAATGAAAGTCGAAACCCTCGTCCATGCACCTTCTACCCAAGGAGCAAACCAGAGGCGTACTTTCCAGAAGGTAAAACTCAAGATCCCCTCCAAACTCGGGAACCGGAATGCAAACAGATTTGTTTCCCTGAACTGGCCCATTTGCCGTGATTAGATTCACTTGCTTTGTAGCATCGGCAATTGGAACACCGGAAAAGTACGTTGCATGATCATGCCTACTGATCAAGTCTTCTGCGCTTCCGGTATCAGCAAGGAACTCAAGGCCATTGGTGGAAACGCATGATATCTTCAGGGTGTTCTCGCAATGTTGGCAAGTTGGCCCTTCATCTTCTTCACATTCGTATTTACACGCGGACTCAACACCTGCCTGCATGGATTCAACCACCCCTTCTAATATCCTTGCACTTTCGATTGCGTAGCGCAGATCGCGGCGATCTGGCCTTGGGCAATTCTCTTGATCGGCATAGCATACTGAGTATCCCCTCGGCTTCAGAGTGAGTCTGCGACACAAACCACTAGCTCTGATTTTGTAAACCTTGGGGTTGCTGCTAAATGACACTTTTCGGCTCTCCCTTG